TTCTGCTGAAAACAACATCAGTCCGGGGTTAGTTTCATTCAAATCATGCAAAATAGAGTCCAAAACAAGAGGAAAAATATGAGAAATATTCAATACATTGGAGACGTATCAGCTCTCGTCCTGGTCGATGAGCCCAGTTTAGGATTGGCTGATGCTTGGCTAGCTGGGATTTTGGACACGGTCACCGTGTGCTCCTCCTGGAATAAGCGGGGGGGAATATGACAATCTGGTCTTATGCCTAGGCACATACTGAAGGTTATACCTCTTTGATGATGGAGGGGGTTCTACGGTGCTCCCAGTTTCCTTTCGTTTTGAAGGCTCACCATGCGAAGATGCTGCCTTCCTAGGGGCCGCCCTCGATTGGGTACGGCTCGCTGAGCGCCGATCCTATAAAGCACGGTTCAGTGTAATGGGTGATACACGAGTGGGGGCTCCTCTTTTTGAGAATGATTTCCGAGCACTTACCTTGACGAAAGGAAGAAGGTCGGGGTAGTCGGCCGTAATAGCCACTTCCGAGCCATCAAGGCTCACTTGATAAAAGACTCCATCACCAAACTCTATTAATATATCCGAATCCTCGCGGAAGCTGGGGTCTTTGTTGCGAGCATGGTCCTCTAGCTCAGGGGAGGGGCAATGAACATTTTCGACTGCCTTCCTCCATGTCTGCTTTAAGACAATCAGAATAATTTGATTAGCACATCTTGATAACGAGGTCGAACAATGCTGATAATCAACAACTTACCCATTCAATGGGGCTGTACATGGAAAAACCTTCCCGACAATTTAAGCGGATGAATTCTTCTTTCTCCCCCTTATAAAGATCTACCAGAATGGCGGCCAGAGCGGCTAGGGTATTAGGGCCCTCGCGCTTATAGCGAGACGCGTCGTCCTCCCTGTTGTAACACCATAAAGGGGTCACTCTGGACTGAAGGGGCTGGATGCATTGCTTTATCGCGATGGCCATAACTTCGATTACCGAGAGTCTGGACTGGGCACGTAATTTGACATTGCTAACTAACCTCATTAGCTCCGCATTATCTTCTTGCTTGGGGCTCCGGGGGCGCCAATTGAGTAGCTTCTTAAAAGGAGCACTGGAGAATTCGGGAAGTCCACGCTGAACTGGGTCCGGAAGGGGAACTTCCTCAATATAAAACCATTCAGAAGACCATTCTTCGGACCCCTTCTTGGGAGTTCCGACAGGGTAGCCTGATCCGGCTATGCGCCAAATTTCGGTGCCGCCCACTTCAAACATAGAACCACCTTGATGGCGGGGAAAAGGCAAAAGAACTTTCCCCATAGTTCAAAATGAGCCTCGCAGCCTAAGAACATCTCGCAGAGAGTGATAAAACCCGAAATGTGCAGGATAGAACCTAGTGTGGGGTTGTGTAGCTGGATCACATAGAATTCCAATAGACCCTTGAGGAAGGGATGGATCGGGAATCCTAAGCCCCTCAGAAGAAACGAGACGAAGCACACCCTCTCCTCCCTGTTTGGGTTGGGGAAATTCTCTGCTAGCGCGTCACTACCAATCGAGGCCAATCCCGCCTGCTTGGAGACTAGATCTGCGGGAGGAAGATATCCCTGCATCTGAAGTCAACTCAGCTAGAGGTGGGACACTGAGCAGCTTCGCCAATCACCCTCTTGAGGGCCATGGGGGGCGAGGAGGAGCTAGGGGCGCTAGCCATGTTTTGAAGTTTTTTCGTGGTTTACTCCGATGCTCTTTTTGTCCAACGTGGGATGGCATTTGGGGATCTAACATCTTTATATAGATGTCGCCCGTGCGTGGTAAGGGGCTTATTTGTAAAAAGGAATGGACCGTTCGCATTTGCCTAGCACGTGGAAATCAAGGCGACGACGGGAAGGAATCATAAAGGCAGAACATGGAGGCAAAAAACGGACTATCATCAATCCGGAGTATGCTGAAGAACCCTCCTTGCAAACCCGAAGACATAAGCCAGATACTACATCGTCATTGAAGGCAAGTTCAGGGGCTACTGAAGGAGTCCTAGATACGGGGGTCCTCAGGTGTTTGGCCTATTCGATATGGTCCAGACTGATGGGCCATGAAGATAAAGCAGAAGACCATCCCCCGTGTCCGAGTAGGACTCTTGAGTGTGTGAACAACAAGTTTGGTGTCCGGATGTACTGTTTCCATCTTCTATAAACCGACTCTGTACAACCCTAGGCCCCTCCGATGTGTATATAAACCAGAGGGGTTAGTCTGTAGAGGCTATCAGAATAATCATAGGCTAGACAGCTAGGGTTTAGTCATTACGATCTCGAGGTAGATCAACTCTTGTAACCCCTATACAAATACAATCAAGCAGGACATAAGGTTTTACCTCCTTTAAGAGGGCCCAAACCTGGGTAAACATTGTGTCCCCATTGTCCCTTGTTAGCATTGATCTTTAGACTTACAACTTGCCCCCCCCCCCCAACCCGAGATCTACCGATTTTGACACCGACAAGGGGTAACGAGGCACATACTGTATTGTTGCCATTAAGGGTAAAAAGACGAGGTTCATATTGCTTGAGTTTATTCCTCTACATCATGTCATATTGCTTAAGTCGTTACTCCATTCTTATGAACTTAATACTCTAGATGCATGCTGGATAGTGGTCGATGTGTGGAGTAATAGTGGTACAAACAGGCAGGAGTCGGTCTTGTTGTCACGGACGTAATGCATGTATTCATGATCATTGCCTTGGATATCATTATAATTATTCTCTTTTCTATCAATTGCTCAACAGTAATTTGTTTATCCATCGTATGTTTTCTTTCAAGAGAGAAGACTGTAGTGAAACATATGCCCCCCGGGTCTATTTTTCATCATATATTTTCAGATCTACAAAACCTAAAACCCAAAAGTACCTTGCTGCAATTTATTTGTGTTTACTTTATTTCACGTTTTAGTAATCTTTTATATCTATCTCTATCAGATCTCATCCTTGCAAGTGACCGTGAAGGGATTGACAACCCCTTTATCGCGTTGGGTGCAAGTGTTTGATTGTTTGTGAAGGTGCATAGATTGGAGACTTGCTTGTACCTCCTACTGGATTGATACCTTGGTTTTCAAACTGAGGGAAATACTTCTCTCTGCTGCATCATACTTCCTCTTCAAGGAAAAAACCAACGCAAGCTCAAGAAGTAGCAGCCGCCAAGTTCATTTAGAAGAAATGGGCGGGACAACCATCCGACCTAGGCGCCTTGAGTGGTCCTATCTGAAAAAGTGCATCAACAATATATTGATTCGTAATCTCTACACATAGGCCAACATTCATCTAAGTCAGTGACAAGCTTATTAATTAAATTTATCACCGAGTCCGCATGAAGTGTTGAATCAGCCAGAAACAAATTAGATAAGTAGGATGTGGCCATAGGAGCCATAGATTCATGATCCTCGTGCGTCACCCCTTCATCATCAACCAATGATTTTTCGCGATTTTTCCGAGCATGCCACATCGCTTTCCGATGTAAGAACTGTGTATTATGGTCCCCTTCCCGCAACCCTGCAACTCTAGATCTTTGCATCTAGAGCATCTCCTCCCGGTACAGAAGTTTGTTCATCGTGTCAGCGGCCTCCCGAATTTCCTTTCTATCTGCATTCATAGACATAAGCTCTTCCAAACGACAAGGTGACTTATTAATTTCCTTTATAACTTTACCAGATTTTTTACAATTCCAATCTTGTAATTTTTAATCATATCTCTAAGACCATTAGCAATATCTCCGAAATTATGCATGGAACACAACTCAGTTCAAGTATTCATTATTACCTCTGGGAGAGTGGGGTCTCTCTCCCACATCACCTCATCTTTTGATTTCATCTAAGTTTTATCCCAAAATCAATCTTATCACTGTCGATTTACAAAAGGATATATCCAATAGCTAACCATGAGAAAGGCAGGTGGTGCGCGACATGCCTCCTCTTTCGGTACACATGATAAGAACATTGTTGCACACACTCGGAGGCATGGGAAGATCCATATGTTGCGTGATAGCTTTTTTAGGAAAAGCAACAAGGTTGTTCGATCGTTGCACCTAGATGTACCTACACTAGTACGCGACGACCCGGAAAGCGGGTAAAAATGAGAAACTTATGTATATCTCCAGAGAGATGCGAGTGACGTGCTTTTGTGTACATACATGTAGTGCTTGAGCTTTACCGGTCCCGCTCATGCACGCGGGGATTCGGTAGCAGTTGGCGCCAGTCCCCCCACCAGATGGTAACCGATCTATTGACGTTGCTTTGAGAGAGATCAACGTGACTGTTACTAACACTCTAGGCACCACATTATACCGACATACTGAATCAACCATCCATGCTCATCTCCTTGTCACATATTGTTTAGAGAACACAAGGGTTTTGTGTAAACTCGCAAAAGCTATATATAGTATATGAATGCATATGTAAGATGGAATATGTAAACTAATAGATTTCTCTAGAGGCTGTATATAAATATGAATGCATATGGTGGAATGTATACATAGGTATATACATAGAAAATAACATTGCTTTGCATCACAAAGCCACGCAACATCAAAAGAAGCACCCATTTTCCACGCAGATGAGATGAGCAGAGGGTAGCATGAGGAGCGCATATTCATACATTAACAAGAATGAGAACAAAACCAAAAGTATTCAATCTGGCATGTCATGTCTTGGAGAGGTTCGATAAACCTAGCACATGTCACCATCTAGTTGTGCCCCCACAATACGACAAGCAACACACAGTTGTAAAGATGAGGAACTATCTCTATCTAGCTAGCTAGCTTAGCATCTATCCAACCACCGCCAGTAAGAACAAATTAAAAAAGCTAAGAAAACGTCAAGGCTTCTCTGGCAAGTGCCTTGCTAGTACACGCATCCACTGCTATTTAAGTACCCCCTTCTCATATCTCTAGATACCATCGAATTCCTTCCATAGTTACACACATCTCTATCGTTACCCCCAATATTTGCGCCACAATAGGACCCATTTCCCAGAGAACCTCCGCCATGGAAAAACATCTTCAAGTTCAACAACAACAACAGTTGAAGCTACCGTCGGGGTTCAGGTTTCACCCGACGGATGTGGAGATCATTACCACCTACCTAGTACCCAAGGTGCTAAAGAAACCCTTCGACACTAGGGCAGTTGGGGAGGTGGATCTGAACAAACATGACCCATGGGAACTCCCCGAGATGGCAAACATGGGGGAGAAGGAGTGGTACTTCTTCTCCCAAAAGGACCACAAATACCCCACTGGGATACGGACCAACAGAGCCACAACCGCCGGCTACTGGAAGGCCACTGGAAAAGACAAGGAGATCTTCCACCCGCCAACCATGAGTCTCATCGGCACGAAGAAGACACTAGTCTTCTACAAGGGCAGGGCACACAAGGGGGAGAAGACCAACTGGATCATGCATGAGTACAGGCTCGAGAGAGGCAAGCAGCCGGCACCCAACCTGCCCACTGACATCACCAACACATCCACCATTAATGCATCTTCCAAGGTATTTAAACCTAGACTAGTAGTACTCATGAATCATGAACATCTCCGTATGTATGTAGAAAGATACTTACCATAGTTGATTTGCATTGATTTATTTTATGTATGTTGGTAGGAGGAATATGTGGTTTGTAGGATCTTCCATAAGAGCATTGGACTCAAGAAGGTGGTTATGTCATCGTTCGCCATGCCCATGCCCATGGTAGTAGAGCGGCAGCATGGCTTCCTCGAATCCATTACATTGCCTCCCCTCATGGACTACAATGCATCATCATCATTGGCGCCACCGTTGTCAGTGACTGCATCTTCTTTGTACCAGCTACAAGCCACCGGGGCTAGCTTGTCGATGATGGAAGGTGTGTTTCTCCCAATGATGAATGGCCACTACTTTGGTAACCACCACCACCACCAAATGATGGCCGTCCCACCAAAGCCGTCGATACCATTCTACCACCACCAGCAGCAGGAGCAACAACAACACCAGATGATGCAGATGATGTCGATGGATATGATTGTAGACCAGGGCTTTATGGTCAGGGTCGAGCCTAGGAGCGAACCATCATCCATAGTGTTGCAGGAGGATTTCCTAATTGCGTTAAGCAAAAATGACCCAGGCAACGACACCACAACAACATCTGACGAGATCATGTCAATGAATATGGGGATGGATGGCATGTGGAAGTATTGATGATCAAATTATCCAATAGACCATATATGTCTGTGCGCATGCATGAATTAATCATCCGTCCGAAGATCAGTTGATATATACCAACATATATATTGGTTTGTACCGCAATTTAAGTTTTCAGCTTCAGCACAATAGAGTTTGTATGCATTGCTTGACATGCCTGCCTTGCCTTGTCTCTCTTGTGCTAGCATTGTGTGTGTGTGTATGTGTTGTGTGTGTGTGTGGCGCGCGTGCGCGTGTGTGTGTGTGTGTATACTGGCTTGTATATGTTGTATATTTGGCACAACTATGGGCTTTACCATTGTGAACATTGTTGCCATAGGAAAAATAATTGCTTTTGGAATAAAAAGTATTATTTCCATACTTCAAGTGCCAGAAATGGCTTTTTTGTGAAGAAAGTACGTGAAATAAGTTCCAAAACTTGGCATTACCATTTTTTATATAAGGTAGACCAAATTGGAAGCACGCTGACCAATTTCATGAATTTAAAAGTACTTTAGCTATCTTTCGAAGATTTACTGCATTAATAGTGAAATATGAGATTTTGCTCAAATTTCAACTACAAGTGTGATGTAGTTTGGTACTGAAAATTGGCAAGAATCATTTTATGCTCTCATGTTGGTGGTGCATTGATACGTCTCCATCGTATCTACTTTTCCAAACTCGTTTGCCCTAGTTTTTGACTCTAATTTGCATGATTTGAATGGAACTAATCTGGACTGACGATGTTTTTAGCAGAACTGCCATGGTGTTATTTTTGTGCAGAAATCAAAGTTCTTGGATTGACCTGAAAATTTACAGAGAATTTTTGTGGAATATGTAAAAAATACTGGCGCAAAAATAGTGGCCCACCCCCTTAGGGCACGCCCTGCATGCTTGTGGGCCCCCTGGACCTCCTCCGACCCTAACTCCAACTCTATATATTCCTATCCAGGGAGAAAAATATCAAAGAGAGGAGTTCATCACGTTTTACGATGCGGAGCCGCCACCACCTCTTGTTCTTCCTCGGGAGGACAGATATGGAGTGTGTTTTGGGCTCCGGAGAGGGGAAATCATCGCCATCATCATCATCAACCTTCCTCCATCACCAATTTCATGATGCTCACCACCGGGAGTGAGTAATCCCTTCGTAGGCTTGCTGGAGGGTGATGGGTTGGATGAGATTTATCATGTAATCGAGTTAGTTTTGTTAGGGATGATGCCTAGTATCCACTATGTTCTAGATTGATGTTGCTATGACTTTGCTATGCTTAATGCTTGTCACTAGGGCCCGAGTGCCATGATTTCAGATCTAAACCTATTATGTTTTCATGAATATATATATATATATATATATATATATATATATATATATATATATATTCTTAATCCTATCTTGCAAGTTGTATACACCTATTAAGTGTTATGATCCACATACCCCAAGGTGAAAATAATTGGGATTCTTTCCAGTGAGTAATGTAGATTGAGGAGTTCATGTATTCACTAAGTGCTAATGCTTTGTTTGGG